TTATTATTAACATCTTTATCCAGTTTCTTGTTGCAGCCTTTGCAAACGTAGAACCACTGCTCAAGTCTATTATAAATGGTAGTTATTGTTGCCTTAAATGTGCGATAGTTTGTCTGTATATTAGTAAATTATTCTTAGGTTTAATTGCATGAATTTTAGAGTAGGTTTTCTAAGATCATACCTCTTTAAAATGCTATAATGCTTATATTAGTAATTTGATTTTCTATTGCATTTATAAAGAGCTTTAATAGAGATGCTTTTGTCTTGCCAGCTTACTCTAAAAGAGCATTGCATATTAGCTTTAAAATGTAATAATTTTTTTCTTTGCGGTGTTATATGGATGTTTGTTTGGTGCACTTACTATTCTTTTATTTCTTCAGTAAGTTGTATCTTTGGATTGATATATATTATTAACGTAATTTACGATGACATGCATATCTCCTCTATATATTTGAGACAGATATAAGGTGAATTATTTATTTAGTGGCCTTTAATAAGAATTTTAGTAATGAAATATACTACCTTCATATTTAGAGATCTTGAATTCTAATAGTGTTATTACATCATTATCTTTGATCATGTCTATAAGAATTGATCATTCGTTAGTAGTCATACCTCTAAATAAAGTCACACGCAGGGTCGTGATACTATATAAGAAAAAAAAGGATGATTTTATATTTACGCAGAGTCATGGCATAATAAATTTTCTTTTATCTTCCATGAAGAATGTTTCTTTGATTGGAACAAAGTTGTTTTAATATAATCTTCAAGGGGTATTCAATCAGTGTTTCTTTGATAAATATAACTTATGTTAGTGTTAATTGAAGTGATTCATGGACGTTCCGAATTCCATTTGAAATGAAAACTGTTTGATTCTTTTGAAGGATATTTCTACATTTTCTAATAGTTCTCCATATATACATAAATCTTTATAATTATTTACCTTATAAATATTATTACCATTAGAGATCAATATTTATAAATTATAATAAATTAATGTTAAGCTATTATATTATATTCTTTTATTAGTTTTTTGTGATTTTTTCATCTATCAATTAATGATACTTATGTATTTTTGCTGCTCTAACATATTGGTAAAATTATATGAAGTTACTTTAATTTGTACAATAACATTATTTTTTAATCTATCATATATTTTATATTTTTATTCTTTAACTAGATATTTTTAATCTGTTATTATTACTAAATGTTTACTAGTATCAACTTGACTATTTTCAGATTTTAAAAAGTGATAGTAAACCTTAAATTATAAGTTATATTTATATATTTTAATGAAAGAATATCACACAATTACTCTTTTCTTTGCCAAGTTCTAAATTTTAGCTTTTTATTTAGTGTAATTTTAAACTTTTGAAAGTATTTTGTCTAATTTTTAAAACTTTTTGTTTTTTTGTAATACTTCATGTAATAAACTGATACTACGGAGCTGTTTCATATATTTTATTAATCTCGTTTAAATTGTTGAGCTATAGATAGTTCATGAGATATTAGGATAGGATATAAGTATGATTAGGATAGATTATAATTTAAATTAAATATTTAAAATAGTACATGATAATTTTGACTATGGAAATCTTTTCCCGAACTCGTGCTTTTAAAAGGAGTATGATTTTTGTTTTCCTTAAATTTTTTTATAATTTTGAGAATGATTTTTGTCTCTTTAATTTATTTGGTGGATTTTGTAAATATCTCATCCACATTATGTACATTTGTAGGTCTACGTTGTTCCCGGGTTCGACCTTTGGGGTAGACATTATTTATCTCATTAATTTATTTAGTTTTTACATATACGCCCTTTATTTTGTAGACATTTGTAAATTTGACATTTAATAAGTTTATTTAGATTTACATTTCAATTTAAACTGTATCCTTATTTTCATACTATGCATATCCAATAAGGATTAATCAATTTATCAACTTACTCTTACTTAATGAAATAATATTTAAATTTCAAGGGTATTTTTGTTTACCGGAATATTTTTTCAAACTCGTGCTTTTAAAGGGAGTATGATTTTTTAAAATTTTTGTTTTTTTTTGTAATACTTAATGTAATAAACTGATACTACAGAGCTATTTCATATATTTTATTAATCGTATTTAAATTGTTGATCTATAGATAGTTCGTGGGGTATTAGGATAGGATATAAGTATGATTAGGATAGATTATAATTTAAATTAAATACTTAAAATAGTACATGATAATTCTGACTATGGAAACCTTTTCCCGAACTCGTGGTTTTAAATGAAAGTATGATTTTTGTTTTCCTTAAATTTTTTTATAATTTTGAGAATGATTTTTGTCTCTTTAATTTATTTGGTGGATTTTGTAAATATCTCATCCACATTATGTACATTTGTAGGTCTACGTTGTTCCCGGGTTTGACCTTTGGGGTAGACATTATTTATCTCATTAATTTATTTAGTTTTTACATATACGCCCTTTATTTTGTAGACATTTGTAAATTTGACATTTAATAATTTTATTTAGATTTACATTTCAATTTAAACTGTATCCTTATCTTCATACTATGCATATCCAATAAGGATTAATCAATTTATCAACTTACTCTTACTTAATGAAATAATATTTGAATTTCAAGGGTATTTTTGTTTACCGAAATATTTTTCCAAACTCGTGCTTTAAAAGGGAGTATGATTTTTTAATTTTTTTGCTTTTTTTTGTAATATTTAATGTAATAAACTGATACTACAGAGCTATTTCATATATTTTATTAATCGTATTTAAATTGTTGATCTATAGATAGTTCGTGGGGTATTAGGATAGGATATAAGTATGATTAAGATAGATTATAATTTAAATTAAATATTTAAAATAGTACATGATAATTTTGACTATGGAAACCTTTTCCCGAACTCGTGGTTTTAAATAGAAGTATGATTTTTGTTAATTTTGAGAATGACTTTTGTCTCTTTAATTTGTTTGATGGATTTTGTAAATATCTCATCCATATTATGTACAATTGTAGGTCTATGTTGTTCCTGGGTTCGACCTTTGGGGTAGCCATTATTTATCTCATTAATTTATTTAGTTTTTGCATATACGTCCTTCATTCTGTAGACATTTGTAAATTTGGTATTTAATAATTTTTTTTAGATTTACATTTTAATTTAAACTGTATACTTATCTTCATACTATGTATATCCAATAATAATTCATCAGATTATCAACTTACTCTTACTTACTGAAATAATATCTAAATTTGAAGAGTATTTTTGTCTTCCGAAAGATTTTTCCGAACTCGTGCTTTTAAAGGGAGTATGATATTCTGAAAAAAATCTCCATATCCCTAAAGAATATCTGCTTTATTCAATAAAAAAAATGTTGCTAGTTTATGCACAATTTATTCAACGATATCTTAAATTCATTCCACTTCTACAATATCTTAAATTAATAAATTCCAGCAATATCCCAAACTAGTATATAAGCAAAAGGCACAAATATTAACATAATATAAGTTACATTTACAAAGAGAATATCGGTGAGCAAAGATTAAGGTGGTAACAATTTAAATCCTTATGTGTTAAAAAATTGAAACTTGATCGAAGATGGAATCTTTATGGGGAAAGTTAAGTAAATGAAATCTTTTTGAGGAAAATTAAGTAAAAAAGGAGCCTTTGTGTTTATGAATCATGATGCAAGTGAAGTATGAAACAGAGATAATTATGGACTCAAATTAAACAGAAACTTGCAAAACTTGAGTAAAAGACTTAAATTAGATAGAAATTAACTCAGTAGAGAACTCAAATCAAGTAAAGATGGAATCGCCCTTGAGTGTAGTACAATAAATAAGCTTGTTAAATGTGGAGGATAAGTTACCTTAAACACGAAGGAAACCTGCAAAGGCATAATTTTGTGAACAACAAATGGCAATTAAGACAATAACTCTTCGTTGCATTCCTGATTCTTGAGGGGAAATTTAGTTTAGAAATGCAAAAGCATGAGCTGGGGGTAATAAATATAGAAAGGGGAATTGAGAATTTACAGATTCGATCGCCAGCAATTTGAATTTGGGGAAATTTTAAAAATTACCGCTAATTTTGTGGAAATAGCCATTCTTTTAAATGCTTCTCTACCTCAGGTATGCAAGTGGGAAGATGGATGCGGCGAGGGTATGCAAGTGGGAACAAAGAAAACGCAGTTGGATTTGCCACGTCAGATTCACCGTATATATATGCTACAATGCTTATGTCCTACTTTATAGTTGGGCTAAATCTATATACTTCTATATACTATTACTAAAATCTGTTACCCTTTAAAACTCCACTTGGCAAAAATAACACGTGGCAAATTCTCCTTTTTTTTTAATTTCCTTAAAAAAATTGATTCAGCAAATTAAAACCAGTACCGCAATTAATGCATTGGGTTCCAGCGTTTTCCCCTTTGTTCATTTCCAAAGCTCTCCTCTTTCCGCCTCTTCGTCGTCGTCAGTGTTTTCCCCTTTTTTTTCATTTCCCAAAGCTCCCCTCCTTGTATTCCGCTTCTCCAGTCGATAAATTTCTAAGAGATTTTCCCTCTCTCTGTGTTTCAATCCCTCTGTCTCTTGGTATTCTCCCCGCCGATTTCACTTCTCCATGATTGTAATTACTAATCTCATATCGCCGATTTCTTAAACATCCTAATTCACATTTTCCCCTTCTCACAATCGCCAATCTTGATCCCTTTCCTCTCCCTAGGGTTTTGTCTCCTCCGCGTCGATGGACATCGAACCCGGGGATCGATACGACAGCAAACGAATCCACCAGCGCATGGGCCCCTCTAACTCTGGCGGCGGCGACGGGGTGGCGCGTAGATCGTACAATAATGTCTGCCTCCATTGGCAGGCCGGCGCGCCAACCGCCATCCCTGCCTTACCTCACAGCGAGCCTCCAATCACTCGATTTCGGCGCGAAGCGGGCCCACCACTGGAATCTCCTCAGGGCTCATCTGGAGAAACCTAAACATGCGGCGACCGCCAACCTCCAAATGGGGGCAAGGATAGAGGCGGGGCAACGGCGGGCTTGCCCCGACCGCAGGTGAATAAATTGTGCAACTATTTCATTGTCCGGAACTGTAGTTACGAGGAGATGTGCAAGTTCTTGCACTCTTGGTTTGTTAGTGATAGCTTCTCTTTGCTCACCCCTCTACAAGGCCACCAAAAGGTGAGATCTTTTTGCTGATTATTTCTCCCTCTTGTGTCTTTTGCAGTTTGAAATTTTGATGGGCATTGGGATTTGCAGGTTATTACAGGAATTGCATTACCCTCGGGCTCAGATAAGTTATATTCGGGGAGCAAGGACGAGACTGTTCGGGTTTGGGATTGTCAGAGTGGCCAAGTAAATTACTGTCTTGATGTGTTCTAATGGTTTTGAATTTAATTTGCTGATTATTTTGAATTGTCTCATATGGGTTTTCTTTTGTAGTGTGTTGGGGTTGTTAGTATGGGAAGTGAAGTTGGTTGCATGATCAGTGAGGGGCCTTGGATTTTTATCGGAGTTACTAATTGTTAGTATGGGAAGTGAAGTTGGTTGCATGATCAGTGAGGGGCCTTGGATTTTTATCGGAGTTACTAATACAATCAGGGCTTTGAATACTCAAACGTCTCTTTTATATATTGGGTCTTTTTTGAATTTTGTATCAAAGCTTGGCACTTTGCAGCCATGGAACTTTTGATGTAAAACTGGGTCGTTTTTTCTTGCATTTAAGGTGTTTGAGTTTTTGTCTCTGTTATTTGTTGTGTCCTCAAATTGTCAACAAGAGCTCCAAATAGTTCAGCCACCAGTCTGGGAGGATAAATTAAGCTAATTTATACGTTTTATCTTTATCAAAAAATATTTATACAGGTGTCTCCAATTCTCCTTCAGGTGAAGCTCTTCTTTTGCTATCTATCAGTATAGCTTAACTTCTCTTGACGAACCATCTATAAGCCTTATGGTTTTTAGTGATGTCTTATGAGAGTCGTTAAAAAATGTCTTAAAAATTTAACGAGGTAATCTCTTTTAATCTTCTCTACATTATTGTTCAATTAAGATCATTCTAGGTGTTTTATTTCTAATAATATTACGTAATTTATTATGTATTTTAGGAGGAGTTAGGGTTTCTAGACTACAGTCTATTTTTATTAATTCGATGTAAGGTTTCGTTTTGTTAATTTTGATATTACGTGTTAGATTCTTCGAATCAAAAATTTTTTTCTTTTTTTTTGGATTGAGTTATTCATTGAGCTGTTCTTCATTGTGATAACGTTGTAATGAGTGACAGTCTCATCATATGATGTTGTTACTCTTAATTTCTCTACTTGAAGTTATTAACTTCTTATAAATTAGCCTAATTTTACTTTGATCGATCCCTTCGACCCCAGTGGCAGTGTAGGTAGGAGCATCAACATCAGTGGAGAGAACCCGAGTCACGGTCCTGCTCTATTTTTTTAACTTAAAGTTTGGTTTTAGATAAGAGACCCAACTCAGGCTAATGGCAGAAGTTTAAAGGTTCAATTTATTATTTTTATTTTCGCTAATTTGGACTGTTTTTGCACTGTGGATTTAAATATCAGATTTTCAACATTGGGTTTTTGCTTAGTAAATATGTATGACTAGGAATGCGTTGCATTATTCTTCATGAAATTCTTAACATTTTGTGGGAATTTTTAGGATTTGAGCTTATCGTTTGTGATTCAGATTTATGTAGGATTGAGAGATGTCACCGTATATGATGCAACCAATGAGGATGCAGTCAGTGTATGTAAGCATATAATTTTCTAGATGTATTTACTTATTTTAGCAGTTTTGAAGTTCTCACTTTTGTGATTTAGATTTTCTTGGACATTTGAATTTTAGGTTATTTTCCAAAAAAAACTTTGGTACAATAATGTTTTTTAATCAATTTATGGATTTTATCATTTAGGCTTTTGTTATTTTTGGTCACATATTTCAAAAATAAATTGTCAATGCGCACATGAAACTTTAGAATTAATCACTTTGCTATTACACAAAACACAATTAATGTAATTAGATTTTGTCTATATTTTTCTACCGCAACAGATTAACATAAGGACAAATTTTCAAAACCAACCCTTTCGGTTTTTTATTTGTAAAAAACGACCTATTTCAGTTTTATTTGCAAAAACCGACCTGGTTTCAGCCTCAGCGCTGAAACCAGGTCGGTTTTTGAAAAAAAGTTTCCGAAACTTCACGGGAGTTGAACTCCCGTGAAGTTTAGCAGCTTTTAATTAAACTGCTAAACTTCACGGGAGTTCAACTCCCGTGAAGTTTCACAGTTAAAAAAAATTGAACTGTGAAACTTCACGGGAGTTGAATTCCCGTTGTTTTCAGCGAAAGTTGACTCCATTGTCGATTCCATTAAACTTTAATTTGTTTACACGAAATTACAATGAAAATAAATGAAAATACAACTCTCGAGAAAATAACACAGAAATTGTTTATCAACTCCTGCTTTGTGGGACTTTGCCTATGCCGTGAGTGCTTTGGCTCGTTGACCACCGATTCAAAGATCGTGAGGGTGCTTAGGGATTTCTCCTTCGTTTATCGAAGTCAAGATTTGAAAACGAATATCTTATCGATGTAAGATGTCCGTTCTTTCAAAGATCAAGTCTGAGCTTAGATCTCTAGGAATCACCGAATGATGCTTGTCAAAGGGTGAAAGTTCTCTCTCTTCTTCAAAATCACTGGAAGCTCAAGCCTCTTCTGCTCCAAAATGCTCTCTCCTTTATTTCGTGTGTAGGGAGGTATTTATAGGGGTCTCAGTGCACCACAGTTGAAACGGGGGCTAAATAACTGACCGAGTGTTTTCTCTTTGGCCGCTGCAGTCTACACTGTCGCGGCTATTGGCACGGCATGCCGCGCCTTAGCCGCGGCACTATGTGCTGTCGCGCCTTAGCCGCGGCACTACGTGCTGTCGCGCCTTAGCCGCGGCATTATGTGCTGTCGCGCCTTAGCCGCGGCACTATATGCTGTCGCGCCTTAACCGCGACGCCATGGGCTGCCGCGCCACCTTGTGTTGCCTGATGACGTGTAAATTGTTCTCCCATATTGTTTTGAGTGGTATTTGTATGCCTGCAATCATTTTTCAACGCCTACACCCGTGAAGTTTAGCAGCTTAATTAAAAGCTACTAAACTTCACGGGAGTTCAACTCCCGTGAAGTTTCGGAATTTTTTTTTTAAAAACCGACCTGGTTTCAGCGCTGAGGCTGAAACCAGGTCGGTTTTTACAAATATTTTCAAAATGAGTCGTTTTTTACAAATAAAAAATCAAAAAGGTTGGTTTTGAAAATTTGTCCATTAACATAATCCAAAAAATGTATGAATTCCTTAAATGTGGACATTAGCTTTTCTAATTATATTTATCAATAATTTTTTTGCTTATCTATTGACAAGTTTAAATGTGTTGATAGGGAAAAAAATATAGTTACATTTGATGCGAAGCTCTACCTTTCTGTGAGTGAGTTTCTTTGTTACACTATTTGTATCCTAATTTCATAATACTTGCAATTTGCAATAAATTTATGAAATGTTGGAATAAGTGGGAATAAAAAGCAGAGTATGTGACAATGTTGTCACACAATATGAACTCTTCCATTGCTCGATTTAGGCATATCTATATACTATTACTAAAAATTGTTACCCATTGAAACGCCACCTGGCAATTGAAACGCCACCTGGCAATTTTACCCTTTCACCGCTTCGTCCTCTGCAATTCCCAAAATATCTCCTTTCACCGCTTCGTTCTCTTTATTTCCCCAAAAAAGGACAAATTTTCAAAACCAACCCTTTTGGTTTTTTATTTGTAAAAAACGACCTATTTCAGTTTAATTTGCAAAACCGACCTGGTTTCCTGGTTTTTGAAAAAAAGTTTCCGAAACTTCACGGGAGTTGAACTCCCGTGAAGTTTAGCAACTTTTAATTAAACTGCTAAACTTCACAGGAGTTCAACTCCCGTGAAGTTTCACAGTTCAAAAAATTTTGAACTGTGAAACTTCACGGGAGTTGAACTCCCGTGAAGTTTAGCAGCTTAATTAAAAGTTGCTAAACTTCACGGGAGTTCAACTCCCGTGAAGTTTCGGAAACTTTTTTTCAAAAACCGACCTGGTTTCAGCGCTGAGGCTGAAACCAGGTCGGTTTTTACAAATATTTTGAAAATGGGTCGTTTTTTACAAATAAAAAATCAAAAAGGTTGGTTTTGAAAATTTGTCCCCCCAAAAAATCACCGCTTCGTTCCTTTCGTCGATCTCAGAAACCAACTCCCCAAATCGCCGTTTCTTTCCCCCAAATCACCTCTTCGTTCCCTTCTATCTCAGAAACCAACTCCCCAAATTGCTTCGTTTCTCCAAATTGCCGCTTCCTTTCCTTCGATCTTAGAAATTGTGCTCTGCCTCGAGAACCCAGGCGTCGCCGAACGATGATACGCCTATATAGTAAGCGTGAGAGTCATATCACCGCATCCCTTCTTTCCAAAGAAGGCTATTGGCAAAAGTCCTGCCGAAGACTGCTACAGACAGCTGTCGGCGTCACTGGAGGCGAAGGTCGTCGGTGTCACTAGAGGAGAACAGGTTATATGTTTTATATGGTCATTTCTATAATTAGTGACCAAAACTAAGTAAAAAATTTATTATTTAGTTGTTCTTCTTTATTGAGTTGCAGACAGAAATTGGGCTTAATTTACCTTAAGAGATTTTGTGATCATTTTATTTAATCAACATCTCCTTCAACTTTCTTTCGTATGGCCAAAAATATACTGTTGATATTTTCCCTTATTTTATCATCTTGAGACCTAAAATGGAGTATACACTTTATATTTTGCCTGATTTTATCAACTTTATCATTACCTAAAACAATTTGGTTTATCGCTGTGGTCGTGCACTGTCCGCAACTATAATACACCCCTTTATCTTTATGTTGATGGTTGGATATATATGTGGATTTAATTAAATTAATATTATAAACTTGCACAGGAACTCTGAATACAGCAAAATTCTGTGAAACCCCTTGACGCTTCATCTTCCACCTCTTTGTATTCCGGGCAATCAAAGCATACCCATTGACGCTGATCATCTTCCACCTCTTTGTTATATAATCATTTTCAATTTATACGATACTTGAAAACAGAAGAAAAGCCTTCGCTGATCTGTGATTGACACGTCTGTCAACCCTCTCTTTCTCTCTCTCAACGTTCTGTCTTCTTTTATATCCAATTATTCTTTTCTTTTTCTCAGTGACCGCTAGCAATCTATCTTTCACCGAATACCCTTTTTTGAGTCGTCGAGCCTCCGCCGCTTGTGATCCCCTTGCCAATGGCACCGACGCTCCTCTCGCCTGCGATCAGTTTCAAAAAGCAAAAGGGTTTGTGATTTTATCCCTATATAGGTTAAGATTTTAGCAAGATTTTGTCTTTATGTATGTTGTTTTTGTGTTTCATTTAGATTGTTAGCACCAGTTAAAGTTAACAATGGGGACTCGAATTTCTTTGAAAGGTTCAAGTCTTTGCAATGCTAACATTAATGAGGTGAGTTTTTTGTCTACTGATCATATTATAACTTCTTTATGATTTATTGTAGCTTATGAATTGCCAGGAGCTTCATTGTGATATCCTGGAGTTTTTGTCTGCTAATAGGGATTTTATTTTTTATTACTTTTTTTCATTTTGGTTTAAGTAGCAATGGTTAGCACAATGGTGATGATCACATTTTATTACAATTTTATACCCTCATTATCTATTTTATATGAATAAATATACCACTAATAACTATTTTTTATCTTTAATTACAGGTTAATGAAGAATAAATATCAACTTCTCATCTCTCAACAAAAACCCATTGATTAAATGAAGAAATGATTCAAGAAGTCAAAGTGAAATTTTTGAATTTGTGAAGGCCCAAAGCAAAAAGATTACACAAGGGAAATGAAGACCGGACCTTGGATGCAAAGAGTGGAATTAATTGGACTTGGTTGCAAAATGGTTCTCCAATCAAAAACTTGATTGCTGCATGTGTACAAGTGGGCCGAATTGCTTTAAATCAAATGAAATGCTACTTGTGTACAAGTGGGCCGGACTTTGTAAATGAAATGAAATATGGACTTGTGTACAAGTGGGCCGGACTTGCTTGTTTTTCATTTGCATTTTGGGAAAATCATCATGGGAAGCTTCATTGGGCCGAACTACTATGCTTGACTTCATTTGTTTGTGAAACATTTTGTGAAAATCATATGGAGCTCATTGGGCCGAAAATTGATTGTTGCAAAATTGGATTTTGATTTTTTTTTGAAAATCAAATAAATCATATGGGCTAAAGAAGAACCAAAAAACAAATTCAAATGTGGAGATTGTTGTTTGGAGCTCAAGACAAATCCAATGGCTCATATTCATTGAAGAATACTATAAATAGGGGTAGAGAGTGAGGGGTTAGGAGTGTGAAAATTTTGTAAACTCTTTTTGGAGAGGAGGGCTACTCTTAATTGAGAAGGCCTTCCAAAAATTGTAACTTTAGTTGCAATTAATAATAATAATTTTTCCTCTTTTAAATTTGTTCTTTCTCCTCTTGTTGAATGATGAGGATGGAGATGAAGAGCAATTTGAAGGTTTGCATTTCTTTTCTCTTTTATTTCTTTTTAGTAATTTCTTTATTATTGCTTATTAGTTAGATTTAAATTCATGCTTGTAGTGTAGATTTAATTTCTTGTCTTTTTATTTCTTTTTGCACTTTAATTTGTAGAGTAGATTTATTTTTCTTGCATTTAATTTCTGCAATTTATTTTGTAGTTTAGATTTTTATTTTCTTTGTAATTAGATTTATTTCTTGTTCATAGTTTAGATTTTTCTTTTCTTTTTAATTTTGTAATTAGTCTTCTTTTTCTTGTTTTTATTTCTTAAAGATGTGAATTTAATTCTTGTAGGAAGTTTAGAATTATATGAAACTAGTCTAATTTTCTTTATATTGTATGAATTATTCTCTTGCACTTAAAATGTTCATGTTTAGGATAATCAACTAGAGAACTAATCGGTAGAAGAAGAATTTGATAATCTATGCTTATCTTAAATGGTTTGATAGGTTATGCTTATGAATTCTAGGATTATTATCATGTTGTTGTTCTTATCATGAATAGTAATTTTAACTTAGATGATAATTTGATAGGTTACACTTTCCTTAAATGGTTTAATAATCTATGCTTAATAAATCTAAGTTGAAATATGATAAAAAGAGAATAGTTTATATTTTGTAATTGAAATTGGTTAGTGGATTATATTCTAGATTTCTTACCTCTTTTGAATCCTACATCTTAACTTTCTTAAATTTTCTTTTCATTCTTAGTTTATTTCTTGATTTTATTCATTCTTCTTTCTTGCCTTGTGATTTCATTTATTCTTTGATTCTTTCTTCTCTAAAATTCAATTTATTACCTCTTGCATATAAATCAAAACAACCACTCATACAATCATACTTATTCTTTATTCCTAATTGTCATGCACAAAATATAAGAACCATTTCTAATAATCTCTTAAAATCACCTTCCTCGTGGGATCGATATTTTTTATACTATAACTTGATAAATTGTGCACTTGTAATTTTGGTACATAATTATGCCGCATCAAATGGTTTAGAAACATAGATGATAGGCAATGTTGTTTCTTCTAGAGATTCATTTATAAATCATAAGGCAGCGTATGTGTTTGCTAAGTTTGCTTATAATTAGAAAGATGCTATCCTACCCTTGCTGGTAGATCCCATGGTTAATTTGATTGATGGCTAGAAATATTGCACATGTACGCTAAATAATTTTCACTTTTTGAGAAACTACGCACTTAGCAGCTTAGAGAAGGATAAATGTTCCTATTCCCTATTGTTAATTAAAGGGTTATTTGCATTGGAATATCCCAAATCTTGATCTATTTCTAATTTATGTTTTAAAATACCAAAATTTACCCTATTTTTGACTTTTGTGCCCAAAGTTTTTTATGTTTAAAAATTTACATTTTATTGAATCTTGGGATATTTTTAGGTGGAAAATTTTAGGCATAAATTTTTTTTTTTTGGTGTGAACTTTAACTTACTCTTGAGAAAAAGGTTATTCCACTTTAATACCCAAAAGCTTACCTCACTTTTAACTTTAGTAACCCAACAATTATTTTTGCCTAAACAATACTCAACTTTAACAAAATTTAAGTTTGATTCCCTAAGTCCTAAACAAAATTTTATTTGATACTACACTTAAATTTTTATTCAATTATCATTGAAGTTTTAGAGTATCAGAGTTAAATTTTTATTAAATTTTGAGTAACAAAATTAAAAGTTGTTCAACTTTAGTGCACTTTTTGGCAAAATAACACTTTAGGGTAATTAAAGTTAAAATTTAGACAAACTTTTTGGGATCTTTTTGGTACTTTAGGGGTATCAAAGTTAAACTCAGATACTTTAGGGGTATCGAAGTTAAACTCAGATTAAACTAATTGGTTAGGACCTTCAAGTCTACTAGCATGTTGTTTCTTTACCTCATATGCAGTTTGTTGTCATATTATGATACATGCAGCTAAATCTATTTGTTTGATAAATGTTTTCCTAAGAGTAAGTTGGTTTATGCATCCGTTGATTGATCCTATATGAAAACATATTGACATTAAAAGTTATCAATTATTAGTTTGATATATGTTCTTATGTTCAAATCTTCATTCAGTTTGTACTATTGTCACGATTTTCTCTGATTTTATATTAATGTTAGATTAGAACTCTTTAACTTTATTTTCGTACATATATATCATTGGGTTGAATATTCTATTTGAGTATCAATCAATGTAATAGAAGCTAAATCTTTTGATAAAAACACTGAAATTTCATAAGACATTTTGTTTATTCCCATAAAATCGGCTTAAAGAGACCATATTTCTGCTACAAAAGGAGCAACAAATAGTAGGTTCAACATTAAATATTGAGATGTGATAAGCCACTTTAATGAATGAGCTTTGTCATTAATGTAATATCATTTTATGTTTTAGGCATGTAAAAATTAATGATGATCTATAGAAATATTGCAAAAGAAAAAGACAACAACTTAAGCTGATTTTTTGGATAATTAATTCATTTTTTTACAAATTTAAATTTAAATGGTGTAGATAGTTATGTTAGTTCCTTTTTTATAATGGTAGAAAGCTCGGGCAATATTACATGTCTGCAACAAATAATCACATGCTTCTCTAGCAACTATTGTAAATAATGTTGTGGTAGGTGGAAATAAACTAGGCATTTGCAATTTTTGATTGTTCAGTCGTTTGAAAAAAATAAATATTTTAAGTAAGAATGCATCAGTTATGTTGCAAATCTATATTCTATATCTAAAATCTTTTCCCCTTGAAAACGCCACATGACAAACCTCTTTTTCCTATTATTTTACTGTTTCCAAAAAATTCTGTAAAAATGTGGCAACAAATCTTTATAATTTAAAGTCTTCAATCTTGGCTGCAAATCTTCGATGTCGCTTGGGCTCCCATGTTTGCTTCTTGGAAAATGAAAAAATTGGTCTCTATTTGAAGAAAATCTTCGATGTCGCTTGGGCTCCCACGTTTGCTTCTTGAAAATTGAAATTTTTAGTCTCTTTCTAAAGCAAAATCTCTCTAATTTCATCAAATTTAATCTCCAATTTTTCATTTCCCAGGAACATTCATCTCTCTTGACTTCGCTCTGCATTGAATCTTTCTCTCTCAATTTTTATTGGGGTTGAGTCTCCTCTGTCAGTCGCCTCATTTCCTAGGAACATTAATCATATAGACATAGAGACATTTTATCTATTTTGTTATGATAAAAGGGAAATTATATTTTGATTCTTTTTTACAGTTTAATAGTAAGTTAAACATATATGTAGCTTATGTTGTATCATTCTGACTACTTATATATTATTACTGTTTTATTTTACATTCTTTTGCTACATCAATTTTTAAATATTAAACAAATCCGTGCATCGCACGGGCCTGAAACTAGTATATTTAAAACCCCTTAACTTAAGATGATTGTCAGAAAAACTTTCAAAATATAAGAAACCCACCTTAAGTTGCTGGTCATCAGAAAACATTTCTCAACTTTAAGGGTTTTTTAATAAAATATTAAAGTTAAATAGAGTTTTCAAATAAAATCTCAAAGTTAAATAAAAGTTTTGTGATGATTCCAATATTTAAGGGGCAGTTTCTGATATTCTGAAAGCTAAATAGTGCTTTTCAATAATTGTCCGAGGAGGTTTTCTAATATCTAGCGTTACATTTTTAATATGTAGTAGAAAGAAGGATACATGAAAGAGAGTTTTAGCTGCCAAATGTAAATGTGACAGGTCATCAGCCAAAACCGGGAGGGGGGAGGGGTTGATATTTAGCCTTATATTTTTAATAAGAGGTAAAATGGAGGATACATCAAAGGGAGTTTTAGCTACCAAATGCAAATGTGCTGCCAGAGGTGCATTCGGTCCGGATACGACTCAGATATGATACTTACCATATCCATGTCAGCTTATCCATCTCGGATACGAATACGGATACTGATATAGATATATCTTGGTAAAGAAAATTTATAACCATATTCGCTAAATCGGATACGGTTACGAATATACATGCGGATATATAAGCGGATATGTATACGGATACAAAATAGATATGAGAAAAGTATATAGTATTGAGAAAAATATAGTTCATGTGATACAAAAGAGTTCGTTAATATCTTCATTATAACTGAAAAGTTAAGATCAGACATATTGATCATCAAAATTAACCACAAATCCATAATTTAAGGATCGAAACCATCATAAGAGTGTGACTAATATGTATTCGGATATTTCGGATACGGATACAGATATTTCACTATAAAACTATATCCGTAACTATATCCTATCGGTTATAGATTTGAGTAATCATATCTGTATCCTAACGGATG